GTGTGTGTCCTTAGGCAAAGCTGTGGGAGTCTTGAAATGTCACAGTAGTAAATAACTTATTACTTTTTGACAAATTCTTTTTCTGTTGGAACACTGAATTCTTCTGTGCATATGTATATATGAATACAAATTGAAGGCCTCTACCTCCTGGAGTTATACAACTTGGCTTGTTTACCTCCACATGCTGATGATGATTATTTTTTTTTTTTAAGTTCAATGTGGAGACTTGAAACTTGAATGTCCCTTCCAACTTTTATATTTAAAAAAAAAAAAAAAAAGACAAGAAAATTGAAGATCGTTTTTCACCTGTACAAGGTATACTAATGGATCGTCTTAAAATTGGTCTAGGAAAAAACCTTGGTGTGTGTTATGGACAATTAACTGTTAAAGTTATTGTAAGTTATCTGTATTTAGCAGAGATTTTTCATCTTGAGTGATCTGAGCTGAATTTGAAGACTATTAATAAGTTATGTTGGAAGTTTTAACTTCAATGAAGTAATTATTTGCTGTGAAAGAAACAAACATTGAATTACTAAACAAAGATGGTGCAATATCTTTGTTTTTTTTTATGAGGCTCCTGAGAATCAACCCAACTGAAGCATTTCAATTCACTTGAATGAGAAACGTGTTTAGTATCAAAAGAGCCCAAGAAGACACTGGTGTGAAAGGTACAATCTCAGAGGTTGGTCAATTACCGTGGCACACTTACTGGTCACTTTGTACAATGTAGATTTGAAGTACAGTGGTGAAAACATTAAATGTGACATTTGAAAAAGATGTGTTCTCTGTGTTATTTCAGTTCCTTGTCTTTCTTCTCTTCTCTCAGTACAGCTGATTGCCTGACTTGGAAATGGTTTGAGATATTTCCCTATTTATTATCTGTTTTGATATTTAAAGATTTTTGTTTTTTAATCTTTGTAGAACTTTAGATTGCCAAAAATAGACTGAAATTTTAGTTAATTGATATCAAAGACAGTGGGATTCATAGATACAATTTGGAAGTCATTCTAGACTTCAGCATGTCTGATCCAATGGTTTTCATCCTCTTTTTTTTTTTTAAAGCACAGAATCCTGTTTTCAAAAATTTAGAATGTCTGAAGCTAGTAAAGTCAATGTGAACAAGTCAGAACCACAATCAGCTACAATTTGTTTGCTATTTAATTTCAGTATAAATACTTTTAAGAGCCCAGAAAATGGAAACAACTTTCTGTAGTGACTCTTAATTTAGAATTATTATGTTAAAATAAAATAATGAACAGAATGCAAATTTTGCATTCATTTTGAAGTTTGGGGCTCTCAGAGCAGTTTTCTACTGGGCTTTCAGATCTTGGGGGACGGGGGTTATGGTGTTAACTCTCCTAAAGAATATTGCTTATTACATGCCAAGCTGTTTGTTGAATTGTTTAGGAACATCATCATCTCCTCTGGAAGAGGCAGTAAGTGAACACTTGGAGAGTCTGCTCTGCAATGTTTGACTTTCCACCTCACCTTTCTTTCTTAGGTGGTCTTTTTTTTTTGGCTTCTGTGACAAACTGTATTTTTCTTTTTCTCGGGCCACAATTCTTCATCATAAACTCCTCCTTCCTCTGCCTAATCCTCAAAAGTGTATGTCTCTGTTTCATTCTTAGCTTTTCTTCTTAATTTAAACTAGTGGTTCTTGACCTTCACTACACATTTAAGTTTCCCAATTAATTCTAATGTGCAATCAAGATTGCGATCCACCACTGTCTTGTTATTGTTAGGTGCCATCAAGTCAGTTCCAACTCATAGTGACCTTATACACAACAAAACGAAACACTTTGGTCCTGCACTAACCACACAATTAGGTGCTTGAGCCCATTGTTACTGCCACTGGGCCAGTCCGTCTCGTTGGAGGTTTTCTTCTTTTTCACTTTTCCTCCACTTTACCAAGCATGATGTCATTCTTCAGGGACTGGTCCTTGAATATGTGTGAAATGTGAAAGCCGGTATCTGACCATCTTGGCTTCTAAGGAGAATTCTGGCTGTACTTCAAATACTGCTCTCTTAGGTCACCTCATCTACTCCCATGGCCTTAATGACAATAAGGTCACATCTCTCACCTTTGTCCCCAGATTTCTCTATAAGTGCCTACTAGAAATTTCCTCTGGAGCATCTCATAGGAACCTCAAACACGTAAATAATCAAATTAATCATTTCCCCCCACAATTTTATTTTATTAATAATTCTTCTCACGTTTCCCTTCTGGCTCTTTTTTTTTCCCCTACCTGACCTAGCCAAGATGAGCAAATGGTTAAGGCTTAACTAAGGTGGAATTGTGGGAGGTAGGGGAGAGGGTTGATGGCCCCAGCAGGGCCCAGGTTGTAGCTCCCTATTTGTTCACATGGGGACCTGTACCAACATGGCGCTTTTGGAAACATCCTGCCAAGTTTATCTTTGTTCGGCAGGCCGGTGGGTGGGATGGAAGAGAATGATTGGGGTTAGAGTTCCCCATCTAGTCCCCAGCCTCCATCCTGAGCCTCAGCTGCACCTTCCACCCACTTACATCAGCAGAAATCAGAATGAACCACATTCTCACTGCCATCTGAACTCCAGCTTGTATGTAAATTTTGTATTCATTTCTTTAATATATTTTAATTTTAACATAGAACTAATGTTTAATGTTAATAAAGGAAAACAGTAAAAATCCCTTAGTTAATGAGGCACATGGTATTCAATATTGTTTCCCATTTGGGAACTCTGGGCTGAATTGCAAAGACATTTACTGGGTTGGGCATCCAATTTCTCCTAGTTGACTCTAGTAAAATATTTTGAGGATCAAACACGTAAGTGGCAACTGTTTTTCCCTTATACTTTTAGGTGAGTTTTACAAATGTGTTAACAATGCCCAGATATGAGAAGGCTGCAAAATGTTGCTGAAAAAATTCCATTACTTTTTAGTACCATTTTTTCGTGAACTTTTCGAGGCCCCCTCCTATTGGTGGTGGTGGTAGTGGTGGTGGTTATGTGCCATGGAGTCGGTTCCAACTCATAGCAACCCTGTATAGGGTTTCCGAGGCTGGAAATCTTTACAGGAGTAAAAAGCCTTATCTTTTGGTAGTTTGGAACTGCTGACCTTGAAGTTCACAGCCCAATTCATGGTAAATCACTGGAATGCATCTTCAGGTCACTGTTTGCTGTGTTTTAACAAGCAGGCCTTCATGCTAAGGGGTCAGTGATTATATCAGGTCAACTCCCCTAAAAGGTCTCGGACCCACCAAAGACTCCTCAAAGAGCGCTGAGTCAAAAAAGAGTGATTGATTTTGATACTACTACTAAATTTTCATAATCCAGGATCCTCACAAGTAACTTTCTACTCAGTTTTGATTATAGCAATTTACATTTTGTTTTTTCTTTCCTTTTTGGTAAATGAACTTAGACATGTAAAGAATGTTCATCCTTCGAAAGAAAAAATAAACCTCTTAAATAGTAGTGTTGGAAGCTACTTTTAAAAACACTCTTTTGAGTTGGTTATACATTGATATGGTACAACCTTTTATAAAATGTTATAAAAAGTTATAAAATGAGGTATAATGAAAAAATTTTGTCCTTCCCAAAGACAACCACCATTTCCAGTTTTGTGGATTAATCTACAATTATTCTCCATAACTAAACTTGGGCCTATTTATGTGAGTAATAGAATGCATATGCATGGTCCTGTATCTTGCTTTTTTTCATTTGATACACAGGGGGATTTCAAAAAGTCCATCAATAAATGGAATTAAGCATAATAGAATTTTTCCACCAACTTTTTGAAGCCCCCACATGCATAGATTACTTCATGGAAGTACATGTTGTTAAGTGCTGTCCAGTCAATTCCAACTCATAGCAAATCTGTATAGGATTCCCGATAGCACCTGCTGGATTTGCACCACGGACCTTGAGGTTCAAACTTAACCTTGTGGTCCAGTGTATTATCTTGCAATGCCACACCAGAACTCCACAAGTATACATTGTTGTTGTTGTTAAATGCCATCAAGTCAATTCCAACCCATAGCGACCCTGTATAGGGTTTCCACAGAGCAGCTGGTGAGCTGGAACCACCAACCCTGCAATTCAAAGCGAATTTGTAGTCCAGAGCATTAACCCACAGTACCACACCAGGACTCCACAAGTACATGTAAAGCTGTGTCGTTCCTTTAATTTGAGCCACATGTGAACAATAAAAATAACTTGAATGTATCCCCACTTATTCATGATTTTGCCCTTTTTTGTGATTTTTT